ATCACTGTTCAGGCAATTTCTTATTAAGCTCTTGGTGAGACACCAATTATTTCCATTATATTTCGGACTTGAATTTGTGACTCGAGCTACATACTGGACTCACTACTGTGACTCAACTCTACATCTTAACCCACTGACTGGAGTCAATTATGTTAAAATGAATCAATTTGATTGGGGTCACAAAATTTAGTGTCAATGGTGACATCTCTAGAAACATGTGCGAAGGACATCAGCACACCAAAGGCGGGCCATTTACATAAATGTCATTAATATCATTAGATTGCAAAGGGATGCAATGAATGATTTGGAAAGCGAAAGTACATGTAACACACTGCAAATCTGCAAAATGGGAATTGTTAAAATCATAATTATAAGATTGGGGTGATCAATAATAGCACTTTTATAACTTTACAAAAAGTATCCAAGCAGGTATATCAACATTTATCAGCCTATTATCTTCACAGCACAAATACATGTACATACAATTTTGCAATTGAACCTACAAGTAAATGGCGGGTTCTGTCCTACCAGAGGCCTAAGGCTGGCTAAAAAGCCGTCTGGCTACGTGTACATGTACATTGCCTATACAGGAAGTACAGGCACACAGAATTTAACCACAGCTTAGCATCAAATTTAAACTAACTAAGACAGAAAACTGTGAGTGAAGGAGAGAGTGTTAAGAACACATACCTCTACAAAATAATTGAAGATGCCTTGGCTTTCAGCAGATGACAATGGAAGTTGATTGGTCATAAAGTAGAACAGATAGTAAATACACCAACCCACAATCACGGAGTAAAATGCCCTGTTAAGACACACATAAAAATCCAATGTGAAATGCTAAATTATTATTAAGCTACCACTATGGGTATGTGGCAACAAAATGTTTTAATGAACAAGTGAAGAAAATATCTGGATACATGCTGTTTTCTGGGCTGTTTTTGAGCTTTGCCAGAAGAATTCTCTTAAAAGTTTAATTTCTGCTTCAATGGGCGGAAGCCCTCTGCTTTGGAACCACTGGAATGACCTCGGGCGTAAAAATAAACTTAAGTGTATTTGCATATATACCATTGTATATTTCAACATTCAGTATTGCATCACTGGCTGTATGAACCGACTATACAAAACGACTGAATTTGATTACATGTACATATATTAAAAAATTTTACTGCAGTATTGATTGTTTATTCCGAGCCTTTGGCTTGATGGGTATGTGGGAGACAGTACATTATTCCATGCATACCTGTACATGTACTGGTACCACGTCCACAAGAACAGTCCCATCCCATAGTTTGTAACTCTTTTAAAAAATGACTTCTTTTGCCTTTCCAATCGGATGTAAGTTTATATTTGTGTTAAATTTATGTTTATTGAAACCAAAACCAAACTACCGGTACATGTAAGTAATAATGTACCATATCCCAGCATACATGCAGTGAATTTGTGGGATACTGAAATTTGTCATCAAGAAAATTTAATTGTCCTTATTCTAAAGTCATCCATCTTGAATCCAAAGTGAGGTAATCCATCATAAACTGGCTAGAAACGAATATGTCAAAATAAAACCAAATGAGGCTATACATTAAATACATGTACGGGTACATGTACGTAATGTAGGAACTACATGTGAATGTAAATGTACTGGTAGTCAGGCTCTTTCCCATAAATGGAATGCTGAATTCAAAGTGAATTGGGCAACTGGTGCACGTAAAACAAGTGAAATATGCAAAAACCGAATGCAATAATTAGCTTTTTGATACAGTGCAGTTTCCGGGGTGCTGCACAATCTGTTGCCATTGATCGATCAATACATGTGAGGAACAAATATTCAAGTTTTGCTTGAAGGCAAAATCATATACACTGTATACACATGTATGTAAAATATCCCTGCGACACACCCAGGGAGGGACTGGACATGTAGGAACTGCCTTTACAGTGTACATGTACTATAATCATGTCTGTAGGTGGGTAACTCCAGAAATTAGGGGTCCAAAAGTGTGATATGTTGTGTCCCTGTTACGTCTGACCTTTGTTATTTGACATGAAAATATCACAGGAATTGATTTCACACTACATGTATTACTATTTGTTTGAAAGGTAATTTGCATTAATTCATCACTTTTGGAAATCAGAAAATGTGTTCTGAACTTACAAAATCATATGTCAGACGTGACAGGTACACGAAAAAAGTTGGACCCCTATTTTCTGGAATTACCCATGTGTAATAGGCTATAATAGAATTAACATGAATGTGAATTTAGTATATTTCCACAGATAATATTATTCATATCCATTTTCATCTTCATTTTACTGAGTACATTACATAATGTACATGTATAAAGGGGTCATCCAATTTGTCATCAATTTCATGAGCGTACTCATGTACATGTACAGTAGATAGACTCCCACCCTTGGGTGTGCAACCACAGAAAAAAATTATGATTCGCACTGCTATCATTTTTAATATTTTTCAAAAGTGTACTCATCCTATTTTTAAATAACCTCTCCCATTTCCCCCGGACATTGCCGGATATGGGAAGTGGCATTGGCTCACTCCAAAGAGGACCCAAAAACATTGTTTTTGGAAAAATAACGAAAGGTAATTTTTTTAATCAATTTTTCTTCCCTTCTTTCATGTGTAAAAAGTTGCACGTGAAAATTCAGCTTCACTGTTCAAAAAAGGCCACGAAAGGTTAAATTTTAAAAAAATTTCTGGAGCCCTAAAAACAATTCATTTTGTCCCTCCACCACGCCCCCCCAAATTTGCTTCTGTATCAGCCTGTGGAACACAGTTCAGTTAGTGTTTAAGTGAAAATTATGCCAGAAATACAATGGCAGGCAATAAACAACAGAATTACACAGATCAAAATTATTTCACATCCAATTAACGCAGCTGAGATAGCAACCCTGTCACATCAAAGCAAGCTGAGTACATGTACTACATGTATATGTGTACATGTATATAAATGGCACTAACAGCTGTGTGCAATCAATGAATACAACATATGGTCCATGGGCACTTCTCTTTAGTATTTACATCAGTCAAATAAATCACAGTTTATTACTTGTAAATGTATGTACTGTACAAGTTCTGTTAAACAGTATGAATTTTGTTTGGAAATTTCATGGGTACATGTAACTTAAGGCTAAATGCAACAATGAAATCTGCAGTCAGATGCTCAGTGTCATGTATTGTACATGTACATGTACAATGTACATGAGATGTTACTGGTAACTTGATTGAGTAGAAGAAAATGCCAGTTGAATATCACTTGGGGCCTGTTTGTTTCTAGTGGATCTGGATTTTGATCAGTGATCCAAAGTTGGTTCACTGACACTAAGGCTGTATCAAATATCCAAATACATGTATTTGATCGATTATAAAATATTTGAATATTATTTTTCGAGTTTGAATAATCCGATGCAAAATTCATGAAAAGGAGGGGAGAATTTTCATTTGCTTTAAATGAGAAAAATTGCACTGTGGAGTACCGGTAGGGGATAGGGTGTAGGGAATTTCAAAAAATTTGAATTTCAGTTCTGAATAGGCTAGAATGATGTTCTGGTGATATTTAAGACCTATCATATGGGAAAAAAAATTTCACAAACACTTTGCCCAAACTAAAACTGCATTGAAATTTCTCCCCCAAAGTGTTGAGTCATGGTGAACAAGCTTATTTTTTCAACGGTTTTTCAGCACTGGTTTCTTTTTTTTTCCAAAGAATTTTCTCCGTTTCTTTTTTGGGGGGGGTTTATAGTAAGTGAGCTCTAAAACCTTCCCGACTTCCTGTGTGCAAAGCTCAAAGCTGTTCCTTCAATTTTTCCTCCTAATAATTGTCCACTGAATGACTGTGATCCTGTACATGTAGTTTGACCATCAGTTGTATAGGTTGTTCTTGGCTCTGTAAACATGCATATGTTTAGGAACGTTTCAAGGTGAAAGAGGGCACCCTTTGGACACCTAACACTAACATTAGGCCATCTCCAACCATTATTTTGCTCTGTATGAAGTTATTTTAAGTAGAAAGTTGTAGGTTGCCTTACTAATATTTATTCCACTATTGTGTCTGCAGGCCCATTATGCCCACCCTATTGTGTCTGCAGGCCCATTATGTTCACCCCATATTGTCCGGTGGGTGATAATATGCTGTCCCACCTGTTTTTTCTCCTGTGTGTTGGGGGAAATAGAGCAAATTTTCTGTGCCTTTTTTCCACACTAAATAAGTCACCTGTTTTGGTTCTTTTATACTTCAATATACACACCAGTGTACATTAAATCATTTAGTGAATTAGAAACAAAACCCATAA